TTGTGGTGTAGAGGGTATAGGATATTTCTGTCTGTCAAGGAATATTAAGTGCTTTCAGTGAATGGGGAGCTCCAAAGGATGAAGCACAGTTTCAACCAGCACATTCAGAGTCCTGGGGCTTCCATGACTAGAGGCACACCAATCGTCAGAGAAACCACCATCACCTGAGTCAATGCCTTGAGTGTAAGGCAACCCCATTCTTGGCACTTATGTCCAATCCATGACCAGATTCAAATGCTAACTGAACTCCTGAGATGCTTTGTGTTTTCTTGTACAGAAATTGCCTCAGGCATTAGAAGAAACTAAGAAAATTACTCATGCACTTATTTGAAACATCTGTGCCTATAGATGTAGGAAGTTTTAAAGAGATCTCAGGATTGGAGATCCACAGTGGTAATCGTAATGTGTGGATGCAGTAGCTAAAGGAAAACTTGCTTTACTTGTGCAAGGTAGAGGCACAAAAAATATTTGTTGACTAATAGCCAACCTTCAAAATTTTATTTCTATAGGAAACCAACTCGGAATTTTCAGAATACCATTGAAAAACATAGAGATATAAATAAATGAAGAGAGTTTTATTTCTTACTTTATGTTTTCTTTACCTCTTTGGTTTTCTTCATCAATTTTGAATTTGGATTTCCAGAATTCGATTTATGGAAGCTCATTTTTTTCTCCTCCTGACTTTATAGCTACAATATATCCAACAAGTATAAACCTTGGATTATGACTCTGTGGTTCCCCCAACTACATATCTGTGGCTAGTATTGCTAGATCTGAGAACCTTTATCTTGTATTGCATTCAATTAAGCTTTTACTATGAAATATCATTATATACTAAAGTCATAAATACAAAACATTTATCAATCTTAAATTATTTGCTCTAAACAAATGAACAGAACATAGGATAAAGTTAAACAAATATTTTTATTTAAGTTAATTAGATTTTTTGCAGTGAATGTGAAATGATTTCTTTCACTATTTCATCCAACCCTAACATTCCTTAAAAATTAAAGAAAACCATTTAACTTTTTCTCAGTCTTCAGGCATCAACAGTTCCAGAGACTTGGGATGTAATAAAACTTCTTGAGTGCTCATGAATTTTGCTTACTTCAAATAAGTGAGATTTCACAGCAGTTTAATGATGTTTCAATGGCCTTGTTAGGCTTATCTGAAAGATGATTTTGATTTGCCCAACTGACACTCCTATTGAGCTCTGGCATATTCTATTTACCCCATTTCCCCCCTTTTCCTGCTTATTGCATTGTTTGTCTGCTTCCTTTCATTTCGGAACAAAACTAGGAAAATCAAAAAAGCAACAACAAAAACAAACATAAAAAACCGTAAAATCCTAACTGTTCAAGCATGTCCCTAAATCATAATCCTTTATCTATTTTGTTTTTGTTTTTGTTTTTATCACAATCAGCAGATTTTTATTCCTGATCCCCAAGGTAGGTACCATATCCCTTACTCTAAGGGCTTAGGCCTTTCCTATGCTCTACTTCAGTAATTAAGATTATGAAACAACCAGCCTGGGAAATTCATAGCATATATTTAAGCTTGATTCTTAACAGAGCTTTGCATTTTTCTCTCTGGCCATTGTAAAATTCAGTCCAACAGAAGTACTTATAAATGTTCTACTCAGAGAGTATCCTCTGTGCTGTCACTCTACTTTAGGACCTCACTTGATATGCCTAATTTTCTTATTTCCTTCATTGAATAGAAAAAGTAGCCAACTTTGTAGCCCGGAAAATATTAATAGTACTTTTTAAAGGTTAAATGATACCCATAGAGAATTATAAATTACAGGAGGTGTTTGTGATGTGACTGGGCAGATTATTTCAAGAAATGACTTTGGCTTTCACATTCTATCAATTGCTAAAGTAGGAAAAAAAGAGTTTTTGGCTCTTTAGTTGTAGGAGAACAATTACATATGCACCACTATTACTTCTTAAGAAAACATTTTTCTATCACAAATCAACAACACAAAAGCAGGGAGCCCAATGCGGGGCTCGATCCCAGGACCCTGGGATCATGACCTGAGCCGAAGGCAGACGCTTAACCATCTGAGCCACCAAGGCGCCCCTCACTATTTTAGCAAAACACACTTTTCAAAATTTAAAGTTTATGTTGCCTTTTTTTTTTTTTAATGGTAATGAAGTGGCTCTTAGGTCCCGGAAGAACCCTCTTCAAATGGTCTATACCTTCAGAAATACATCAGTATTCTCTGCAGAAGTCTGATCTTTAAAAACTGAAAATTGGAAAGGCATAGCAAACATCGTGATGGTCAAAGTAGGAAAAATGGAAAAATTAGGGTAAGCATATTGTAGTACAAATCCAACAATGATGTTTTTGATCCTTATGTTCCATATACACACCTCTTTTTTAAAAGCTAGAAGATAGAGTATTTTGATTAGAAATAAAGTTCTAAGGCAGATATTTATCTTTCCCACAGGGAGACACTGTGAAAATAAAAAAGAAAAATACTCATGAGTTCGGTCTAGCACTGGTCTCAAAAACCAAGAGATTTTTAACATTATAATCTTCTTGTTGTTTATTTTCTCTCATTTAGTTGCATCATTCTTTTTTAAAAAGTGAAATAATCTGAGTTCACAAAGTCTTCCTTAACCCTTTAGAACTACAACACGTATGTCCATTTTAGCAATTTATGAATGCAGGACACATGATTTGCCTTCATATGACCAATCTCCTTTTTTTCATATGACCGATCTTTTTATGATGGCGAAATCAGGAGTTATTTGTCTTTTGTATTTTAGTTTCATCCTCTAAGTAGCTTTAGTCTGGATGCCTAGAAACCATCATGTTGCCCTCCCACCCCCATCTGTTGTTCTGATCTTTCCAGGGAAGCCTGCCCCCTACTCCTGCCCCAGAGCATGCCAGTGCTGGTGGAGAGTGGGAAAATTTTACTGTCATGGAAATAGGATGCTCTTTATTCCACTATTATTCAAGATAGACTTTGGGTGCCCTACTATTTCTCAGTATATACTTGCCTTTTGGAGGGTTAATTTCCAGACCTGGCACATTCCTAACTCTCTGGAGACCAAACATTCTGGTTTGTCCAGGACTGTCCCGACATAATTATGCCCCAACATAATTATTAATACTACCCCTTCCACTTTCAGAAGTGTCCCCATTGGGAGAATAATTTATATGGCTGTCTTACCTATGGATCTATACTTATATTCAACTTTGACAAAAGAGCAAGTGGGTTGAGGCGTGAAAAGAGAACATGGGTTTTACTGATGGGAACATTTCACTGGTCTTTGAGAAAGCCATTTATCTGGGGATTTGTGGGGCTTGAAATTAAAGAGTGTGAACCTTAAGAAAGGAAATCTCATTTTAAGTGGAAATGGGAGGCCAACAGGGGACGCTGTCCTCACTACCACTCGTTGCAGCCCTCCGCAGAACCAACAGGGAGAAGCCTATGCTTTGCTACTCCAGCAAGGGGAAGAAAACTTTTCTCCACCCCTGTAACAGTCCAGCCAATGAGAGACTGTCACAGCTCAGCCAATGAGAAGCCACTACACTTTGAACTCCCACTTTACTCTTCTTTTTGTTTACAACAGCCCCTCCCAACCCCCTAACCCCCAACCTTCCTTCGTAAAAGAGTGTTCCCCTCCTTTATTCTCTGGACTTGTCTGTGGTTTTGCCTTAGCTTACATAGCCTGAATTGCAATTCTTTGCTATTCCTGAATAAACCCATTTTGCTGGTATAATAACTGGCAGTTTTATTAAGGTTGACAAGAGTGGATGAGATGTGAAGAGAGGATCATAGCTAGAAGGGAAGGTAGGATCTTTCAAAATGAATCAAAGCAATTCAGACTCAGTATTTCCAAAATAAACCTCATCATTTCCTCCCCCACCTTATCCTACTAGCAGCTCAAAACAATTTTCTTTGTTGAATCTCTTACCTCTCTTTGCAACCACCCCCCAACCCACCCCTGCCAATATCTACCCTGGCTGTGCCTAGAATCTGCAGTATCCTCTCTGATTTTTTTCCTTCATACAATTACTCTTTCATTTCTGACTGTTCCAACTCTTTCGTCATAAAATCTGAATCAAAGATTCTCATTGGTTTTACCACTGTTTGGATCATTGTCACCACCTTCTGACCAACCAGTTTCTCCTCCCTTCTAATTCATTTTCCACACTATTGATAGACTGCTATTTCCTGGAAAAATATTTATCCTGTTCCAGCTTCCTGTAAAACTTCTGTCTGCTTTCTATTGACAATAAGGTGAAGACCAACCTGCTTAACAAGGCATGGGAGATCTTTCAAATTCTAATCCCAATGTAGGTTTTCCATTGTAGTCCTTGCCCTTTGTTCACTAAACTGAAACTCTGGCCGTGCTAAGGTCTGTTAGTTCCTGAAGACACAGGTCCTTTCTTTTCTCTGTTTCTCTGCTATTTCCTTTGCTAGAATGTTCTCTTCTTTCTCATCCCACCCCACCCTCTTCTATGCCTCATAAATGTCCATATAGCCTTCAAGGCCCAGATCAAATGCCCTTTTCTATCCAAAGCTTTTTCCAACCTTTTTTTTTTTTTTTTTTTAAGCAGAAGTTTGTGTTACCTTCCTTTTGCCCCAATGTACTTTTTAAAAATGCCTCCATTCCACCACTTACAGTATAGGCCGTCCTGGGTAAGTGACTATCTTACTTTCAATTGTCAAACCTTTCAGGGCAGTGGCCAAGCTTTATTTGTCTCTATAGTGAGAAAACTTAACAAATTCTAGTACATAATTAGCACTCACTCTGTATTTGTTGATAAAGATGAAGACTTGCCATAAATTTCACCCCTGAGAGTTCTCTGTATCTATTTTCTACCTTCCATTAGAATATATGTATTCACTCAATTTTTATTTTACATGAACTCTGGCTTCCTTCAGTTTTATTTTGTTTTTTTTTTGTTTCTCAAACTTAAGAATTTGCAGGGTCCCAAGATAACCTCAAGGGTTCTGCTGATCACAGGACTGAACTCCTGAGATGCTTTTTGCGGGCAAACAGCTGGAAGATGGCCGTACTCTGTCAGACTATAATATCCAGAAAGAGTCCACCCTGCACTTGGTGCTTCGCCTCCGGGGTGGCATCATCGAGCCTTCCCTCCGCCAGCTGGCCCAGAAATACAACTGCGACAAGATGATCTGCCGCAAGGGTTATGCTCACCTGCACCCCCGCGCCGTCAACTGCCGCAAGAAGAAGTGCGGCCACACCAACAACCTGCGCCCCAAAAAGAAGGTCAAATAAGGCCCCGCCACTGGCTCTTCCTTTTCCCGCAGGGCGGCCTCCTGCCCGAGCCCCAAGGCCCTGGGGCCTCAATAAAGTTTCCCTTTCATTGACTGGAGCAGTAAAAAAAAAAAAAAAAAAAGGGGCGCCTGGGTGGCTCAGTCGGTTAGGCGACTGCCTTCGGCTCAGGTCATGATCCTGGAGTCCCGGGATCGAGTCCCCCGTCGGGCTCCCTGCTCGGCGGGGAGTCTGCTTCTCCCTCTCCCACTCCCCGTTTGTGTTCCCTCTCTCGCTGTGTCTTTCTCTGTCAAATAAATAAATAAAATCTTTAAAAAATATATATATATAACATTATAAATGAATTTTGATATTTTTGGTCATTACTTAGTAATACAGAGATAACATACAATACCTATTGTGTGGGTACTGAAATTTTACAGCAATACCCAAGCGTAGGTGGTTATCCAGATGATTGAGAAAATGCTTGTATGAAATTTCAGACTGTTTTATCAAAACTAAAACACAAACGAAAGAGTCTTGCAGAGAATCCCTAGACCTCTAACAGATCCCCTGATGCCATTTTGAGAACCATTGCTGTGTGGAGAACCCACTTCTTGTGTGCAGTCAGTTAATTATCCAGAGAACCCATCAAGGGCCACAAAATAAATACTATGGTATTTGCCCCTAGAGGCAACTTGCTCCACCCTCAGAGTCATACCTCACCAGAGAAGAAAAGAAGTTTGACCATGGGATAGAACTAGGACTAGAGGGAAGGAGGATGGAGAGGAGGAGAGCATGAGTGAGAGAAGAGAAACCATAGCAGCAAAGCAAAGAACTGGCTTGGATAGAGGTTAAGCACATGTCCATCTTCACAGATTTATTGGGGACATAGTGCACCATAGGATCTTAAAGTCTACCTTGGACAACCTGCCATGGCATTTCTGCAATAAGAAATTTCAATGTTCAATGTAAGAGTCCATTTCTTGCTTTGGGTAGGAAGATGGTCTCCAGAAATTCTCTGAAAAAAATATCCATGTATTACAGGAAAAAACCAACCAAACAAAAATCAGACCAAGTAAGTATTCTGTTTAATTTTCTACAGTAATTTGTTAGTTTAGACTGATTTCTTTTTAGCCACCTGTGATCTTCAGAGGGATGAGTAATTGAGGCTGTGACCCATAACAGCAGCTACAACAAATATAATAATACATAACATTTGTTAGAAGCTTAAGTGTCATAAGGGGATGTTCTACATATTTTACATATATTAAATCATTTAGCCCATAAAATTACCTTATGAATTAAGTGCTATTGTAGCTATCATTTTAGAGATGGGAAAACTGCCAAGCATCACATCTATTGATTTTGCATGATGTTCATCCAGTGAACAGGGCTAAAGGTAAGGACAAGATGACCAGAAGAGACACATCTGTACAGTTAGAAGTAAACTTTGAGCAAATACCCAGTGGAATATGAGTATTTTTAATCAATTTGACCAAAATAAACATTCATTCAGTGTAATTAAGCTCAAACTTATAGGCATGGAGCTGGGAGCTGAGAATAGGTCGATGTGAGATAAATAAAAATTGAGAAATGTATATCAAAACACCTCATATATGGAAAGCAATCTGTCTTTGAGGAGTAATATTTTATGCATAAAACTTTCAGGACGATGCCATTCCCCAGGCTTTTAATCTATTCTGTCTAGCCCCATCAAAGAATTTACTAAGCAAAAGCATTTTTACTTTGAAATAGGTTCTTTCTGCTCCTTGTGTCTGAAAATCAAAACTAGGTATTGCCTGCCCTTTGATAGAATTGACCAGAGAGGGCGCCTGAGTGGCTCAGTTGGTTAAGCGACTGCCTTCGGCTCAGGTCATGATCCTGGAGTCCCGGGATCGAGTCCCGCATCGGGCTCCCT